CTGAGCAGCCAGTAACAGCTCCCCTGGAAGTCAAAAGAAGGACTGAGCCCTGGTCTGAGCTCTCATAGTCCAAATCTCATCCTCCAGCAGTCAATGAAACCTTGCATTGACTTGAGAGAGGCAGGACAGCCCTCTGCATCAAACTCGGATCCCCTGGATAGGAGTCTGAACTGTTGATATCATAGCAGGAGAGGTTGTGGTCCCTAAAACACTGTAAGAAAAATACAGTTGAGATTTTAACAGAAATATTGCCTTCCAAAGAGGGATTGTAGGTAAATTCCACCTCATAATTTTCTTTGTCTGCTTGATGTGAACTAAGTAACAGAGAGGGGAAAAAGAAAAGTTAATCTTCATAAACTGCTTTAGTAACTGCTACTCAGAGAAGACTCTATTCTGATTTTCCTCTATCAACATTTTCAATACCACTAAAATGTCTCAGTTTGAACTATTTATATTGTAAAAAACCAGGAATACTTGAAAGGTTCTTTAAAAAATAATAATTAAAAAAGCAAGGGTGGGAACAATCATCTCAATTTTAAATATATTTATCAGAACACACCAGCCAAATGGAAATCCCATGAGGCATCACCAGAGCAGTGAAGGAATTGTAAGCCAAGCTCAGCTTTGAACCCAGCCCAGGCAGACAAATGGTGTTCCCAGACATCTGCCTCTCACAGCCTGTGCAGCCAGGAACATTCCTGCCCAGGACCACCCTGCCTGCTGAGGAGTTACAGCACTGTGTTCTCCATATCCCAGCACTCTGGCCTTTCCTCCTAATTGAGGGATGTCCATGTTACATTGACAAGGCCCTCAAGGACAGGGTGCCTCCCGGGAAGGCCTCCCCAGCCACGGGCCTTGCTCTGCACCCCAGCAGGAGCACAGGAGCATCTCTCCGGGGAGCACCCTGCTGGCTGCTCTCCCACAGGAGGACCTGTGGCTTTTGTGTCACGGATTAATCAGCACCACAGCCTGCTCGTGCCTCTCTGCTCCCGTTCCCACACGGGGGTTCCCTCATGTTGACCTGCCCCCATCCATGGCAGCTTTTAATGCAAGTGGGAGGTGATGCCCCCACCTTGCTGCCAGTGAGCTGGGTGCGAGGGCACGGCAGGAGCTGGCCTGGCCAGGGCTTTTGGCACAAACACAGCTGGAGCCCAGGCACTGGCTGCATCTAAACCCCCTCAGTCCTCAGATCCAGAACCTCTAAACTACTCCCTTGCCTCCACAAAACAGAGCGAGCCAGGAAGCAGCTCCCATCTATAATAATTACAAGAGAGTTTCCCTTGCCCTTGTGCTATTTATTGCTTTTGCCCTTACCATAGATTGCTTGAGACAGAAGAGACTATTAAAGATCAAAATATTTCTTTCTGGACAGCCTTGAGCAGAAAACTCCCTCTTTCTCTCAACCATTGCCACTTCTGTAGGAAAGGGAAGGGGCTGGTTGACACTGCAGACTGAACGAGGCATTAAACGACCTCACTCGGTGGCTGCAGTGGGGGAACAGCCACCTCCAGTGCAAACCTAATGCTGTACCCACACTTTGGCAAAGGTGCAGTGCTCCTTCGAGGATCCTTTTCTAATTTGTCACAAAAGTTATCCGTGGCATCTCTCTCCCCCTTATTTCGACTAGGCTGCCATGGGGGGAAAGGTGAATTTCGGTAACTACAGCTGAGGCTGGAAAGAGGCAGCCAGGAGGGCACCTGCCACCTCCTGCTCTGGGGACATGCAGCTTCCCTGACTCCAGGGCTCCAGGACGGGGCTTTGCAAGGAAATAGCTCACTTGCCAATAATAATGATTATTATTAATAACCGAGTGACGTCCTAATCTTGGTGACATCAGCCCCACCGTACCCTTAGCCAGGGCTCCTGCCAGTCACTCTCACACAGCTCCTGCTCTCAGCGGGTTGTGTCTGCGAAAGGAGCTGAGGCAGAAACAGCCCCGAGCTGCTTGGGCTGGAGGGAGAGGTGGGGGCACCGCCCGGGATGACCCCCAACTCCTGGCTGGGCGATGAGGGGACACAGGCTTTCCAACCTGGCCAAACCCAGGGCAACTTGAGATCTCCTCCTCATGTAGGAGGCATAAAGGGAGGTGAGGGGAGTTCCCCCTCCTGCCCCCCTAGGACACCCCGCGGGGTAGCCCCGAGGCACAGCCGGGCAGTGGGCACAGGGGGGGTCCTTTGGGACCCGCCGCCCTCCCCGAGGAGCCCTGCAGCCCTG